ATGACAACCTCAAAATCTTAAAACGAGTTAGGGCTTAATTTACAATTTACACAACATGATTGTGCAGTGCAAAGGCCTAAAGATAAAGTGAAGATGCACTAGGCAAACAACCTCGAAATCCTATGGATTATGTTGTTTAAGTCTAAGGAAAGATTGTTGTTGTAGAATGTTGCACTAGGCAAAGTAGTAGTCCTAAAGTCTAAAGTTTCAAATGTTTTAAATGACAATTTCAGTTCAATCATTATGGGGAGAGTAAAGTTGATTAGAGTGACATTGATTAGGATCCTATGGTTCACTCATTTTGGTACCATTGTTTTCTTATGAATTTGCTTAGCTTAAATAAGTTGTTAAGCCCATTTAAACTAGGAGATCTCGTTAGCAAACCTTGGGTTACCTCATCCGTACCTCATCCGAGGGACTCACGTAAATTCAAAAGGACGAGTTATGAAATTATTGGTTTGTTGTTTTTGAAAGATATTGTTTAGTTTTAAAAAAGTTTTTGTAATTTAGAGGTTTTATAATTGAAGCAAGTACATATTTGAAATGCAGTAAAGTAAAAGAAAAGGAGATTGAATGCAAAAATGTAAATGCATACATGTCATCTTCTCACACTCCTGCTAAAATATTAGAACCTGTAACATATATATAATTTTATAGGGAATTTAAATAAATTGCAAGGATGGAAAACAAGAAGACTAGTTGAAGGTGTGTCTACCAAATCTTATGTCCTAACTTGATGGGTCCTTAAAGGTTTTAATGGATGATTTTCTTGAACAAAATATAATAAGTCCAGTTGTCCTTCAAAACATCCAAAATGTTATAAAAGTGTTTCAGGAATAATCCCTAACAACTTTGAGACCCTTTTGAAGCATTTTGAGTTTATTTGAATTTATTATATTGTTCAATTAATCATCTGAATTCAGTGGAGTATGGCGAATCAGATGAGAGGAGAAGTATATGAGAGGAGGCCTCAATCAGATGCTTGGAGAAGCTTCAGTGGAGTATGGCGAACCTCCTTGAAGTGTCACTTTCCTCTGGTGAATGCTTTGAGTAGAAGTTCCTCCAACATGTGTGGAGGTCTTAGTCTAAAGCTAAGTAAGAGTGGCTGGGGGATGGGGCTTTCAGTGGGGATCTTCTTAGTTTGGTATGGGGAAGCTTTTGAAATAATTAATTTAGAGTTTTGTGGAGTTTTAAGAAATGGCCAAAAAATGCTGTGGTTTTGAGCTCTAAAATTGAGTTCAAACAGTGGAGAAGGTGGTTGGAAAATGGTTGGAATGGGCTTAGGAAGTCTTGGAGAAGCTTTGGAAGTAATTTGGCAGAGTCTCAGTAAGGAAATATGCACTCTCTATGTTTGGTTGTGGGAGGAGGTGTTTAAATATGTGAGGCCATGGTGGACACCAGAGCTAGCCAGTGGGTGCAAAGAGTTGCTTAGATAGAGGGAAGAGAAGCTCCAATGTCTAATGGGAGTGAGCCAAGTCAGGGATTTTTAAATTTAGGTTTTGACAATGGGGGCCTCTCAATTTTGGTGTTTTTTGGTGACTAGGCATGCCGACAAGGACAGAGAAGGTGATTAGCTGACTCAGAGAATCCAAGGTGAAGCTTAAATGTGATTAGGATGGGGGTTTAATTACTTGAGCTCAAGCTTTGGTCACTTGGCGAAAAAAGGGACTTTTAGTCCATGGTACCTTTAGGGTGGGCTAAGAGCACTTAGGGTAGATCTTAGGGTCTAAGTGGCTGCTGAGGTGGTTTAAGATGGGTAAAAACAAGTAGTTCCAAGTGGGTTTAAGGTTTGGATTCAAAATGTATTAGTTGAATTGGACTTGGGTTTAGGCTTGGCTAAATCTTGGATCTAGTCTAATTTATTGGACAATTTGGTGTAGGGTATTGTCACAAGGTATTTGGGAATCGATTGGGTGGATAATTGAAGGGTGATGAGGTTTAATTTGAAGAAATTTGGACTTTGGGGCAAAATTGGGGATTTTGGCTTGGGTTGAACTTGGGCTATGCTTAAGGCTTGTCTAAGGTCAATTGAAGGCTTAATTTGGTATATGGTAATCTTATAAAGAGTTTAGGAAATGAATTTAGGGAAATTGGATAGGTTAGGGCATTCAATTTGATGGAATTTGAAGAGATGGTCAAATTGGGGGTTCAAATTGGGCTTGGAAATTGGCTTTAAAAATGGGTACACTTGGGCTTAAATTTGGTTTCAATCGGGTTTGGAAAAAGTGAATTTGTGTTTAGGTTTGAAATTGAAGAAATTTTAGATCAATTTGGTGGAAATTGGAGGTGATTTGAGGACTTTAGGCACTTGGGAGAAATTTGGGGATTTTGGTCAAAATGGGTCAACTTGGTCAAATTAGCCCTAATGCATGATCAAGAATTGGTTTTAAAGGTGTTTGAAATGATTTAGGAGGTTTTGGAAAATTTGGACCTCCAAGGGCATTTTGGTAATTTTGGGGATTTTGGAGGTATTTTGGAAATTTTGGAAATTTTGGGGTGTTTTGTGTAATTTGAGTGGTTTGAAATGATTTTTGGATAAAATTGAGAGTTTTGGGTCAATTTGAGAAAATTAGAGTTTTAGGGGTATCTTGGTAATTTGGTGAAGTTTGGGGCTAAAAGTGTCAAAATTGGAAATTTGAAAAAATTAGAATCAATTGAAGATGGTAATCATAAAATTACCCTTATGGTACCATGAAAAAAAGGGAACCTCATTTTGGATCCTCCATGTTCTGGTCCTAGCCAAACACTAGCCTAAGGCTAAAGGTCTGGGAGACCACCCACATAAGTTTCCAACATAGCAGGGAAGTAGATTAGGCAAACTTGGTTCAAAGTTTAGGTTGTGAGTGAATGTGAAAGGTTCATGTGTGTGTATGTATAGACCTGACCAAGACCACACCACACCACCCAAGGCTAACCTTAAGGCCAAACAGTTTTATAGAAACTCATCTTGATCTCCCCCATGTTCACTCCACCTACTATATGCTAGAGGTTAGAATAAACATGTGGAACTTCAAGAAGAGCCAAAAAGCATTTTGAATTTTTATTGGTGAGGGTACAATCACTAGTCCTTTAGTAATAGTTAACAGGAAAATCCTATGGCTAGATCTTAGGCTTCTAAGGAAGAAACTAGACCTCAACCAAAAGTTAGGTCAACAGTTGCAAGACAACATGGTTCCTCAAACCGCTTCGATGTATGAGAAACTCTAAGGTATCTTTCTCCTAAAGGCCTGAGTATTCACCTAGGTGGAGATTTGTTAGATATGACTCATATACTAGAAAATTGACAGATGTTGGTCGTTTCCTGGCTGTTCTGGAAGGTTTTGGGAGGCCATGCACGCCCCATGAGTCATGCAATAAATCTGGACTCTTGATGTGAGGAGAAGTGTCTCTTGGAATTAAGAGATGTGTCTCTTAGAGTGAAGAGTTGTGTCTCTTGGAGTTAAGTAGGTTGGGGAAGTGGGGGCATTTTTTTAGTAATTTTATCTGTGGGTTTTAATCTGTATATTGGATGTGTAACCCTATGGGTATGTATTGAAATTTTTTCTGGAATAGTGACGGCGCTCTGCTCCCGATGATGTAAGCACATTGCTGAACCTCGTAAATTTCCCTATGTTCTTGAATTAATTTTCTTCTTCTTCCAATTTTTTGACATCATGTCGGAACACTGATGTAATTCATTGGATCTCTAACGATGATATTTGATATTAGCCAACAATATTTCGACGCAAATTTGAATCTGACATTGGTTGATGCAAATACCACGCTGATCTTGTGTCGGTCAATGATCCGACGAAATTGGTCAACAACGATATATATGGATGCTAACTCCATCATAAAATTTTTGCATAGGACAGTTGCAATGCTAATATTTTTAGCAACCCCCGTTTTAACGAAAAGTTATTTCTGACACTAATCCCATTTAGTATTGGATTTCTCCTTGGGTAGCGTCGGACTTATACGATGCTAATAAGCATAGATTCTATAGCGTATGCTTGCATTGTTGTCATTATTTTACGTCATTTCGGGCGTATCACTATCAAGCTTTAAAACACAAATTTAGAGAATTTTTCTAGAATCAAGTTCAATCTGAATTAGCTCTGAGTTGGCCAACAATCGAGTTGATCTTATGAGAGGCCGAACAACTTAAGTTTTGATGAGGTTAAGCGCAAGCCCTAAGAAGATGTTATGTATGCCAAACACACCAAGCTACATCAAAGAAACTGTTGGAATGATTAAATTTTTCTTGACTATATTGACTGTAGTCTAACGGGTATTTCATGGGAGATTGTGTATAGTAGGTTAGTCCAATTAAACTAAGTACCAACAAAGCTAAGCTCTTGGCAACGTGGACTTAGGGGTGTTGGGACATCTAGCTCTACGAAATTTAGAGAGGAGCAAAGAGATATCAGTGAACTACTTGGACCTTTTTCTGCTCTAGATTTGTGAATATATTCTCCATTTATTTGCCCGTAATAATTTTCATTAATGTCTCTATTTATCTGCCTTCTTATAGGGTATTCTAACCATAAATTTTTGTCAATTATAATGTATTAAATTCTACACTAGTGATCTTCCTCATGTCAGCAGAAATCAAATCTACATGGTTCACAAGTGAATCAACACCACATAACATATTTTAATATCATCGGTTACATAAAGAGCATCTTATTTGTCACAATTTTGTTTGTCATAAACCAGAATGAGTTAATCATACACGTAAGAGTTTAATATTTTTAACTAGTATGACAAATAAGCTTTAAAATCATAATCTATACCATAAATTAATTAAAATAAATGTTTAATTTGTCGAGCATTCAATTAGAAGAATGTCGCAATGAACTAATAATATACGGTTTATAATAGCCCACTAAAAAATAGATTTTTTCGCTCAGACATTGGTCGCTGCCTTCTCGTCGAGAAATATTTGCGTACTTAACACGCACGCAGAGTTACTTATGTAATAACCTCGGCTTTGCGGTTATTAGGGGGTTATTGGGAGGTTATTGAGATATTATAATCCTAATAATCTTTCAATAATCTTCGCAAGCTCAATTTCAAAATTATTCATAGATTATTATAGAGATATTAAGGGGTTAGCATCCAGCGGCAGCCTTTCGTACACCGCATTAACAAACGATACTGCCATGACAACGACTTTACCGGAAGCTCTCAACTCACCCACAACGCATCCGCCCACCACCTCCCCTTCACCGCGGGCAAGAAACACTGTGACTCCAGCCGCCACAGGAGGAACCGGCGGCGCAAAGAAAAACGAGCCGGAGATTGAGAGAATCTCATAGCACCCTTGAAGACTGAAGGAAATATCACTGTAACCAGGCTGCCGGATGGTGATGTCAGCGACAGCGCCGCTGCCGCTCAGTATACAAAAACTGCGCCGGCGGCGTGCAGCGTAGGCGGCGACGCTAGTAGCAACGTCGCAGCCATCGGAGATCTCCAACATGTGGTACTGTAATGAATTAAAGTTGTTGCGAGTAGTGATGATTGACGGCTTCGACGTTGCCTGAATTTGTGGGGAATTATGGTCTCGCTTGGTGGCGGTGAGGTCGGGCTCGGATTTGGGACGGAGATTAAGGAGTGGGTGCCGTGGTCGGAGGTGTGGCGCCGGAGCGTGGAGGATGGGGTGGTAGGGGAAGCAGAAGTGGCGGCGGTGGAACGAGGGAGGATGGTGGTGGCTATGCGCCGTCTTGCCGGATCCATCTGTACTAGGTATCAACAAAACTTGGAGATGAACTAACAACCCAAAAAATTGAAAGAATTAGAAAGAAAATATTTGGGATGGAGGGAAGTGATTGATACTTTTACCTGCTTGAGACAAAGAGCTTGCTTTGGCAAGAAAAAAGAAGAGTTTGCAGAGGAATCTATGGTGGTAGCTGAGCTCGGATATCCATGCCTCTTCTTCTTCTTCTTCCTCTCCGATTTGTTTGGGGTTAGGGTTTTGTCAAAGGGCGAAGTGAGCTATGCATAGACCATGGTTTTGGGAAAACGCAAATAAGAATATTTTCTTAGCGCTCAATTTTTAAGGAATATACAATTAATTTTAATTAAAAATTAATATTATGAGGAATTTAATTTTTAAACTCAATGTTTGATATTTAAAGTTTTCAACACATTGGTGTCATAAATTATGCATAAATGGGATTTATTTTATTTATAAAAAGATAATGATTATAATATTTATGATATGATGTTAGAGATAGGGATGTTAAGAATATAATAATAAGAGTTATGTAAATATGCCGGAATTGTGTGGTATGTATGGAAATGCCGCTATTATATATTATTTTGATAAATTTAAGAAGGAATTAGTAACCAACACGAGGGGTGACTTGTTCCACACCGCAAAGCTTTTGGTGGCCAAAGTTTTCTTTTTTTATTTTTCATTTATTCTTTTTTCTACTTTTTGATATTTTAGGCCTTTGAGAGTAATCCTGCAATTGTTCAATTTTTTAATTGAGCATTCAGATTTTTTAATTTGAATGTTGTAAGGTGTTAAGCGCTGGTGCCCGATCCATGCCTTCAGATCCCGCTCCCGCCAGTCGCACCTGATCGCGAATCATCATGATTGCTCCCGCTCCACTATCGTGATACCTGTTCCCGCCGCTCTCTGATCCCGCCGCTCCCTGATCCCGATTCGCGAAGAGACGCGCCTCCCTACTGTTCGCGAAACTGTTCTCGTGAACTGTTCTCGCCTCCCGTCTCATTTAAGTTGCGAACAGAAGAAAAGAAAGTTTCTAAGTCAGAGTTGGTGTTCTTCTTTGGGCTTCCTCAAGATAGAAGGATGGAAAGTGCAAGAAGTTGTTCCTTGAGGGGGAAGGAAGAAAATTGTTCTCCATTTGCTTTTTCTTAGTGACATGTGGCAGAAAAGAAATTGAGTTTATTTCTCTTGTAAGTTTATCTTCTTCGGTGTATCTCATTGTAGAGTTTCTTCGGTGTATCTCAGTGTATAGAGAGAAGAACAGAGCGAGAAGAAGAGAGAACAACAAAATGAGAGATACTTTTTGTAAATCGAGGTGATTGACTAGTGTAAATTCCTTAAGTAGTAAAATCCTCTGCAACTCCATGGACGTAGACAATTTGCCGAACTACGTAAATCTGTGTGTTCTTTTATGGTGTGAATTTTCTCATTCTATTTTCTCGCTTCATCAAAGATCGTTCTCCTGTTTGTATATATATACACACACCACATCAACTGGTGTATATGTATATAGTATCTCGCAACAACTGGTATCAGAGCTTTGTTTGATCTGAGGAAGAACGATGGCTACAGATGAAGTAAAAGTTTTAGGGATCAAGAAATTTAATGACACAGATTTTGGTTATTGGAGAATGCATATAGAGTACTATCTCTATGGGATGAAACTTCATCTTCCGTTATTGTGGAAAAAGACCTGAAAGGATGGATGAGGCTGAATGAAATTTATTGGATCGATAAGTTCTGGGTAAGTTCTGGGGGTTATTCGTCTGGGGGTTATTCGATTGACCATATCGAGGTACGTTGCACACAACTTCGTCAAAGAGAGGATGATTGCAGATCTCATGGGAGCCTTATCAGGTATGTATGAAAAACTATCGGTGAATAACAAGGTGCACTTGATGAAGAAGTTATTTAACTTGAAGATAGTGGAAGGTGTTTCTATTGCTCAACACTTAAATGATTTCAATACTATTATAAATCAATTGTCGTCTTTTGAAAATGATTTTGATGATAAGGTACGTGCGCTGGTCTTCTTGGCATCATTGACAAATAGTTGGGAAGCCATGAGAATGACAGTTAGAAGTTCTGCATGTAAATCTAAACTGAAATGTGATGATATTCGTGATTTGATTTTGGCTTAGGAGGTGCTCAAAAAAGATTCTAGCGAGATCTCAGATACGAGTTCGACACTGAATGTTGATTTTAGAGGGAGATGACATGAAAGGAACTCAAATAAAGGGAGATCAAAATCAAAGTTTGGTCAGCAGGCAATCTGCTGGAATAGTGGCAAGGTTGGCCACATAAAGATGAACTGCAGGAATCCCAAGTAGATGAAAATTGATAGTGCAAATGTAGTATCTGAAGAAGTACATGATGCACTATTGCTAGCAGTTCATAGTTCTGTTGATGATAAAAGTGAAGAGGATAGTGGGCCCGGGGCACCAAGTCTTATTATTCCACAGAGAGATAGTAGAAAACCACAGAGCTAAAAAGAAATTTTGCAAGATGAAAGTTCAAGCAAGTACAAGTTGTAAGTAGAGATAAGAGTAATTCAAGAAATAGCTTGGAGGTGCAAAGCTATGTTGACCCTGCTGATATGTTGACTGAGGGTATTACTCTTGAGAAACTGAAATTGTGCACAACTTCAGTTGGTCTTCTGGAGTGAAGACATGGCTTTGAGTTGCAGAGGCGGATGATTCAAGTTTAAAGAAAAAGGTGACGCCGCTAGTGGAGGATGTCAGTTTGATGAAGGAGATGTTGTAGCAAATGTATCGGTCTCCAAGTGAGAGATAGTTAAGCGTTGGAGCCCGATCCACACATCTTGATCTCGTTCCCACCTATCACACCCGATCGCAAATCATCGCGATTGCTCCCGCTTCACTGTCGTGATACCTGTTCCCACCGCTTCTTGGTCCCGATTCGCAAATAGATGCGCCTCCTGTTGTTTGCGAAACTGTTCCCGCAAACCGTTGCCGTCTCCCATCTCTTTTAAGTTGCGAACAAAAGAGAAGAAAGTTTCTAAGTCATGGTTGGTGTTCTTCTTCGGGCTTCCTCATGATAGAATGAAGGAAAGTGCAAGAAGTAGTTCCATGCGACATAAGGAAGAAGATTGTTCTCCCATAGCTTTTTCTTGGTGGCTTGTGGCAGAAGAGAAATTGGGTTTATTTCTCTTATAAGTTTATCTTCTTCGGTGTATCTCGGTGTAGTTTTTTCGGTGTATCTCGGTGTAGAGAGAGAAGAACAGAGAGAAAAAAAGAGAGAGCAACGAAGTGAGAGATTCCTCTTGTAAGTCGAGGTGATCGATTGGTGTAAATTCCTCAAGTAAAAAAATCCTCTGCAACTCTGTGGACGTATACAATTTGTCGAACCACGTAAATCTGTGTGTTCTTTTCTAATGTGAATTTTCTCGCTCTATTTTTTCACTTCATCAAATATCATTCTCCTGTTATATATATATATATATATATACATACACCACATCAACTGGTATATCTAGATCTCGCAACAACAACAGTGTCCAGAGAAGCATGCACCTCATATCAAAGTTCTAGATGAAAATATTATAATCGTGTGTCTTATCTAAACGACTTGATTTTCAAAAATAACAATCCATTCATATTTCAGGAATTCAAGAAATAAATAGCCAAATAATTTAAGGTCATGCATATCAAGCTCATGTCTTGCGACATGTGCATTTAACAACATAAGGAAATTTTTCTTCTTTAAAGAAATCTAATTTGTTCATGTAGGTATTTTGTATTTTTTGTTAAATAAGAAAAAAAAAATTCTAATTACTTTACTTTTCCTAATAATAATTTTGACGAGTCCATTGCCATCATCTTCATTCAAAAGTGCCAATTTTTATTTAGATTAAAAAAAAAAACAACCAGAGTCATCTTCATGTTATATATCACATAGACACAGACAAATATATATATATATATATAGATTTGTTGCATATATATATATATATAACCTACATACATACAATATGTGAAAATATTAAAATATGTCAGTATGAATCTCGAGACAGATGAACAACTTGGACGAAAGATACAGACGATTGAACGAGGCTTTTGACAATCGTTTGAGTTGGATATTGGCTAATGAGGCGTCTAGTTTTAGTGACCAGAGGAACTTACCAGTGAATTTCTCGTAGGGTAGCAATCGTCTCGCAGTGTAGCGATCGGTCCTCATAACGGTCGACAAGAAACATCCCTTTTTGGACCGACTATCGGCGAACATATGACACCACGAACGACCGACGAGCTTCATAGGCACCCGAATCAGTCCTTGAGTCTTATTACAAGTGGGTATTTATGTAATTACCAAAAGGTCTCTCTAAAAGGCTAATGATGAGGGGAATGATATGTAATTTTGAATAAATTAAATAATAGCTACACATTTCTTGTTGTTCCCTACTGTCTCTCTCTCTCTCGCTCTAACATTTAATACCTTGGGTGTGTATCCGGGACAGTTTCAGATTCAACATCCTTTAAGGTGCAATGAGCATGGACGAGAAGAGGAGCCTAGCAACAACAATGGGGAAAATCCAGTCAGAGGAACGTGGTGAAAGTAGCATGCACTAAGGAGTTCATGGAAGAATTCATCTAGCAAGGTCTGCAAGATTTGAGAACTTAGATCACCAATCAAATGTCAATACAATTTGTAGGGGTGCGAAGAGTCGTGGTTGCCCTAGTCCCAGGAAGAGAACCGACCCAACAACTACCACCCCTAAAGGAGAACCACCAACAAATAATGGAGAAAGAGTGATCCACCTACAGAAGAAGCCTGAAGACCGGTTATACCAAGGCAACACTAGATCTGACCCTGTGGAAGAGAGGAACCGACTAGTGCTGACCGAGTTATAGAGGTAGTCAGAGAATGCTTTCTTCCTACAGGTCTCAGAAGCTAAACTCATGAAGAAGTTCAACTTGCCCGTCTTAGAATCATATAAAAGACGGTTAGATCTCAATGACCACC